TCTAGTAACAAGTGCCTTACTAGTAGTAACAAGAAGCTACTAGGAACCTAACGACTGTAGCTTTGCGATTGTAGACTCCCCTGTTTTGGGCCTGGCGAGACTCTGGTGATGAACGACACCGGTGGACTAGGGTGAACGACGGCCGCCCGTTCGGCGCCTCCAAGGAAAGGCATCGGCTCCTTTGGACGGCCATTGCACTACAAGTTGTGTCCCTCAACCGAAGACCTGGTGAAAACCGTAACCAGTAATTTGATGGCATATATATATGACATATATAACTTTTGTGTGATTTCTATATATGGTTCTTTTATGTTCTTTCAATGTGGTTTTCAACATGTGTTTGAAGCTGCCAGTGGTTGAAGCTATGCATCGGATCGAAGCACTTCTGTGGACTTTGAAGCCACCAAGGCCCTATGCATCGGATCATACCAGGCTTGGTTTGCTCCTTGCTTGGCGCTTTGGAGAACGTCGACCTTCTACGAGATTCTTTGATATGCTTTGGAGCTCTATGGTAGATATATGGATAATTGTGGATAATATATACAGTATATACATATATTATATGGAATATAGAAGTAACTCATGGCGTTGGCCCAGACCTCAGCCAAGGATATCAGGGTTCAGCCTGTTCAGCGTCCTTAGAACGGCATAGAAGAGCCCTTAACCTTAGCAGTGCTTGGAGGATCTTTGAGGTAAGAAAGGTGCAGGCGAGAGAGTATCACAGGTGATTCTGCATTCGATTGGATTCTTCTTTCATGTGCAAAGCCAGCAGGAGCATGAAGAAGTTTGCAAATGAAATCGTCCAACTTCTCGACGTACACGATTATATACTCTATCCGACTTTAAACACTTGTCTCAAGCTTTGAGGTCAAGGAGGTGACTTTGTGAATGGCGACGGTACCGGTGGCGAGAGTATCTATGGCCCCCGCTTCGACGATGAGTTCGATCATGGAGCACCTCAGTGGCCTTTGAGCCGCTGTGGGAACAATGACAAAATCGGTGGAGTCCACGTTTCGGTTGGGAGATCCTGTGTTTTGCCAACATCAGTAAAACAGCATGCTCAAGAGCACTTTTGCCCCTTAGCTTCAAGTTCATGGTGTGCTACACACTCCTAGTCAATCCACCCATGTCGTTCGTTGTTCTTGCAGCTTGCAATCCGGGCTATTTATTGCAGAATCTACCGATGGCTATTGCAGAAAAGCTGAATGTGTTGCGAAACCAAGGTGGCGAGGAAAACTGAGTCACATTCCCGAAAAGTGGACCCTCAAGCGGCCAGGATAAACCAAGGGGTTGTTGGCAGGCCATCAAGCAGATTTGTCAGGTCATCATGCACAGCAAACCTATGTTGCTCTCAATGGCCAATGCTGGACCGAACACCAATTCCTCCCAATTCTTCATAACGACTCTTGGCAGAAAGGATTGGCTATGTTGCTTGAGGGAAGAAATGAGGCCATCAGCTACCCGCGTCTTGGGAGTGGTGTTATTTGGATATTGGATGGTTTGTCAAGGTGTGCAGTCAAAGGGTACATTCCTCAAGCAGCCCACTCAACTCCATTGCTAGGAGCGCCAAGATGCATTACTTGGATGAGAAGCACGTGGTTTTTGGACAGGTGCTGAGTGGTGAGGATGTCATTTATCAAGTTCCTTGGCTCGGCTGACAGGCAAAGTTGCCTTGGATGCGTTCATCATGAACTTTGGATAATGTAAATTATGTGCATGACCAAATACAGACCACTAGTCACTATGTGTTGAAAAGGACTGCTTTTCAATGCTTTTCAATTCTTTTCAGCATCTCTTCATCCCAGATCCCAGGTGCATCGCTATGGCACACCCGACGGTTCCACCATTGCGACAGTGCTGATCTCAAACTGCGGTCAGATACCGCCCGCTCTTTGTTTGCAAGGCTAGGGCTTTGCGTTGCAGAAGCTTACCGCTCGCAGAGAGAACCAAGAGTGAGTGAGTGTAAAGGTATGATTATGTATGATGTACCTGTTGTTGTACGCATGAGCTGATTTGATATTAGGTGTTAAACTTTAGCACACCAGATCAACATAAGCAAGTTTTAGATCAGTCGGGTCCCATTGCACCATCCCCGTCCAGCAAAGGCTCATCCTAGCGAGAAGTCCGAGTGACCACACATCCAGCCGTTCGTTTCACTGAAAGAACATTGTTTGAGCTTATTATAGATGTCATAACGACGCTGTAGCGCCCAAAGTTCCACGCTCCACGGGGATGCAGTGTTGGTTCATAGTGCTTTGCGGCTGATTGTGGTTTTTGAAGAGGGGGGCACTATGACAAAGAGGAGACCCAAATCACTTCATTTGGAACGTATATATGTCATCGCTGGCTTGTTGGAACTTTGGCATCCGACATCCATCTCGTTATCAAGGCGAGCAAAAGGACCGTGCGTTGTGCAGGTTGCTGCGTTGTGCAGCAAAGAGCTGGTTGCTGTTTGGTTCTTCTTGTCCCCAAGACGAACTCAACTGAGAGGCATCTATCTAGAATTGAGTTGGGGACAAGCGACCATGCCATCTAGAATTCAGTTTGGAATCTGTAAATTGGAATCAGAATTGCTGGACCGTATCCACCAGCCATGTGTTCGCTCTTTGTATTGCGAATCGCAAAGACCTGTCCAGCTGTGCACAGCTTGATTGATTCGCCGATGAAGTTGTCTCAGTACCAAATCCGAGGCAGCTTCGTGGTTGCCCTACCTCACTCTGTGGGGTTTGTGATTTTGCTTTATGGCTGCTTTTCTTTTTGCTTGCACCCGATTTAAAGACCCCACTCCAGCCCCTTTGGGTGGGATCCCCTCCTTCCCGAGCACTGTGGCCGTGCCAAGGTCCATTTTTCGCGCAGGATCTTTAAACTTTGAGTTGGAGAGAGATGTTTTTGAACATGGCGTTTTCCATGTGGCTTTGAACAAAGATTTAAACCACTCAGTTGCACTTCGGTAGGGCACACATGGACCATCCTCACGTCCGTCGATGTGGAGCTCCGTCCAGTCGCGGAACAGCCAGGTGCCCACGGCCCTGTCCTTGGCCGCGAAGCTCAGTGGTGACAAAGCAGCACCCGAGGCGACCGACAGCACCGAGCGTTTCATGGCCCGGCGCTGAACGCGCGAAACGACGGTGTTGATGTGCAAATCGAAGAGTTTCATGTGTTCGCATCCTGCAGTCCTGCACTTGATGTAGAACAAGATCTCCCCAAGATCATTAGACCTTGGATTGTAGAACAAACACTTCTTTCGACGAGCGCAGTTTCTGCGCGTTCGTTCGCAGTTTCTGCGTGCTCGCGCCTTTTCCTTGCTGCACCGCTTGGGCGACACGGTCACCGCGCTGGTCAGGACCCTTGGGCGGGGCGGGGACACGTTCCGAACAGATTTGGAGGGCTGTTTTACTAGTGATGTGAGTGAGGCCTAAGTGGGCCTAGGGTTGAAGGATGCAACGTTCAGTGCTTTCTGGTGCTTTTTGCTTTTGGGTTCTTTCGAGTTGCACGGTTTTGGGAAGACGACGCTCGATTCGTCGGCACGGTCCGTCCATGTTTGATCTCTCAACGACGGCCTGTACACTGTTCACCCCTTGGGTTGCGTTTTTGGTGATTCAGCCTTCCGAATGAGTGAAGCAATGACTCTAGTGACTCTAGTGAGAGTGAAGCAAACTGCATTCTTCTGTTTTGGGACGATATGAATGTGGCGTCAATATGTACGAGTGAGCTTTGGTGAATCCCGCGCTGTGGTTTTGCCTTTGCGAAAGAGTGATGCATTAACAAGATTGTTGTGGTTGCACACGACCTCAGAGGTTCTGGATGGTTCTGGGCTTTTGGTTTGAATAGCGATCACTCAGCTGTTGTTCGCGTGTCAATGATCGCCTTTTGGGCTCGAGTTGACGCGCCGGCGTCCAAAACGATGCGCCCGGCGGATCGTGTGCTCATGGCACGGAGCTCCACCGAAGGTGGTGTGGCAGCCCAGTATCCCGGAGTTGCCAAGCGAGAAGGCAGATGTACAGTAGTTTGAGTATTGAGTTGTTATATGTTGTTATATAACTTATATATATATACATATATCATTATTTATGTAGCCAGTAGCCCCTTTGATAATCGTGTGTTATATATATATATTTCCTGAATTGTGCTGTGCATTCCTCTTCAGGATGCGGCTGCTATAGGCTATAGATCTTTCCCTCTCAGAGTAGCACTGCATTGTGGCCAAAGTGCCCTCACCATCACTGATTGCGTTGTGAAACGATTTTGTCCTGCCAGTTGTGGACCGGAGACCTGGCAGTGGGCTCAAGCAAGGATAGAAACTACAGGCCAAGGTTAAGGTTCAGGTTCAGCACCTAAAGATCTTGGATCGCTCTTTGCAAGCAGATTCTGCAGGAGAGAGGTCACCAGAGCGGTGCTTCACAACTAGAGTGGGCTCCTCATGGTACCAACAAGGAAATGAGATCAAGGAGTTCTTGTTGAGAGGGTGGATGATAGACCTGCACAAAAAGAAGTGCAACCTAATTAGATGTGATGGCAGCCAAGCTACGGAGATGGCACTCCACTGTGGCGCTTGCTTTGCTTTGCCCAGGAGTGCCAGCTGCTTGGCCAAAACATGCCAAACTATATGAATGTACAATTATGGTTATAGTCTTAGTCTCCAAAAAGTGTGAAGTGGACACTCCATGTTCCGAAACAGGGTAGCGTGCACAGAACAACAACAAGCAAGCGATATTTATATATCAGTGGCTCTAATTATCAGATACCACCTCCAACACTTATTGTTTCAGCTTGTTTCCTCCACATTGTTAGTTCAGCGACATGAGAACCGGATCGACATGAGAATCTATTCAAGTGGGCGATCCTCCTCGTGAAGGAAGCTGTTCGGGTCGGATTGAACTCCAACACCATGCCATGGATACTGGTGCGAAAATCGCTTGGTCAAAAAAAGAGGTCGGTGCAGTTCCAGTCTATTTTGAGGTTTGGCTTTGTGGCTATGGCCTTGCTGATCGCACCAGAGCTCCTCTTCAGCAACTAGATTGACCACGAAATGGCCTCGGATCGACATGAGAATCTATTCAAGTCGGCGATCCTCCTTGTGGAGGAAGCTAGTTGAGCTCTTGGTAGGACACCCTCGGACACCGGCCGATGCCCCGTCCAGGCGCGAGTGGAAACTCCCCGTGGCGTGTCGGTCCTCGCGGCCGCTGGCGAGTCGCTGGGAGCCCGGTCACGGCAGCTGTGGGGTCGCGGAGCAGTGAATGTCCCACTCTGAGAGAAGACGAGTCTGGAAGGCTTCCATCAGTAGCAAACATAGCTATGGGCTGCTGCTAAAGGAGAAAAGCATGCCATAGTGCCTTGTATATATTTTGGTCAGACCACTCACCCTTTTTTTGTCAAGTCAACGTTTCCCTTGCTGATGACAAGGGTCACATAGATTACAATATCCAGCGGAGCCTCTTGAATTGGTTGACTTCAGCACCGCACTGACCCAGTGACCCAGGCCGGAGCCCAATCCCTGGGAGCTGCTGAAGTCGTTCGGCGAAGGCTCCAGCGGTCCGAGTCGTTGTTTGGTTTGAGTCCGATGGAACTCCAAAGATTCTCACGTTCTTTGGGAGCCATTTGAGCATTAAACAAAACCGTTTTCTGCCCAGGGATCCACACCGCAAAGATGTGTTCGAAGGAATCTACGGATGAGGTCAGTGCCAGATAGTGCCAAGCTATGTCAATGAGTGCCAGATGGTGCCAAGCCCCGCCACGTGCCGTGTATGCCTAGCTAAGCCTTGACCGTGCAGACTTGGAGAACAAACGCTGGTTCGAGACGGAGACGAAGTAGACGAAGTGTGGCAGCCTTTCACAGTGTTATGCCGTGTTCTAGGTGTGTTTGTCGGAGTGAACAGAAAAGAGCTTGAAATTGCACATATTGATTGGACGTCTAGTAACAAGTGCATCGCTACTAGTAGCAAGTGGGCGGTTTTGACCTTGTTGCTGTGGGCAGCCAGGGTTGTTTCCAGGTGACTTCCAGTTGCGTCAAGAAGAAGCTGCACGACTCTTGCGCCTCATTTCTTTGCTCAGAATCGCGTCATTTCCCTGGGAACATAATGAATAGTGCTGTTTCTTGTCTCTCTTTGTTTACTTTGACTTTGGCCCCCTATACTCAATCAAGTCTTCATTGGTAGGGCTTCAGCGCTTCAGCATCCAACATGTCCCCATGCGAAGCTCAGGAGCTCTGCAGCCTTGAAGCAGTTGGGTCGCTGGTTTCAACCTGCAGGCGACCGGTGGGGACCTCACTCCAGGACTCGAGGAGCGAATTTTTCGGTGCACAAAGTGGGCTCACACAGAATCACACAAGATCACCCCAATTTGGGCTCCCCAAATACCCTGTTGTGAGGCCCCAACAAAAGTAAAGGGAAGCCCAATGCCAGAGATGTACCATGACTTTGGAGGTCTCGCAAGCTGTTAGGATACATTCAGGTTCACCTTCAAGACCCTCCAAGTAGATCATCCGGGAAGCCAACTAAGTCGTGGCCTTCGACACGTGTTGACGTGGCCTTTGTCCTTTGGTCTTCTTTGGTGCAAGCTCAGGTGAGCGCTTGAGTAGCGAAACCTCTGACAACGTTGACGAAGCCTTGGATGCCTTGCTGGACGAGGCCAAAGAGCACATCGTGGACTTCCTCTCGGACCGAGCGTCTCCAGGCGCAACCCTCGACCCGTTCGGGTGAGATCGTCGGTTTGAAAGCGGCTCCTTCAACCGATGATGTCCTGCAAAGCTAGTGCAGCAGCTAGTGTGTTTGTTTTGGATGTGTTGTGGCCATGGACAGACCGTGGCCCCTTCGCCCCGAGGCCCGGTGAGCCGAGTCTTTTGGCAAGCGGAGCTCTATCTGCGGAACTTCCAGCAGGTGACGAACGGCAACCCGTCGTCTCCGTCCGAAAGGACGAAACGCATCGAAAAGAACTGATGGTAAAAGCAAAGCACACAATAGTGTTTCTACTATAGCTTCTTGCTCCTAGTAAGGCCAGGATCCCCTAGTAGCGTTCTTGTTCCTAGTAGCGAGGCCCTTTGCTACTAGTATGCTGATGGTCGTTGGATGTTGAGCAGGAAGGTTTTAGGAGTTCCGCCGTCCACTTGATCAATGACCAGAAGAAATGGTTGCAGTGGCTGTCCGACTACCTATACAGGTCGTGGTTGCTTGAAAACCTGCTGGTACATGCCGGGTGGTCATTGCAACTGTTCCAGTTAACTCTTTGGTTTTGAAGTTTTGAAGCAACCACGTGCTTATTTCACCTGCTTGTTTCACGTTTGCAGGTTGCTGGAGAGGCTCCAGTGGAAGAGTTTCAGCAGAGGGCCAAGGTCGTAGAAGAGGAGGTCGCACCGGAAGGATCTCAGATGGAGGCCATTCCTGACTCGACATTTTTGCTCCATTCTTCCTTGTCTTTCCTTGGTTGTTGAGAAATGTTGAGAATGAGAATGTTGCACAATGTTCTTCATGCTATAAATCGCACATGATCGCGTCCAATGTCAAAAGTTCTAGAAAGTCTCCGAAGCAATTTACATCAGCATGTAAACAAGACGATTCTTTGCGGACTCGGCAATCAGCTGAGGCTGCCCTTGGCGTTGTTTTGGCGCGGCAGCAGTTTGTGGCAGCCTCCAGATTTGGATACTTCTTGCGACGGTGCCAGCAGCGGCTGCGATTGGAGAGGATCATGTGCTTTGGCTGCCCTGTGGGCACTCTGGGCATGCAGTCCGGATCAAAACATGCGAAGTGTTCAAAAGTCAAGAGCAATCATGCTCAATCATCCATGGCCAGCAAAGTACCATGTTTTATCAGTCACCAGCACCTTGAGGTGCCCAACTGTTGAAGGCAAGAGATGAGTGCAAAGAGACATATATATATATAGGTGGATGTGTGTGTGTGTGCGGTTTTGTGTCGCTTTTGACAGTAGGCCAAGGTTGACAGTGGGCGACATGTTTTGTCTCAGCCGTAAGCTTTGGACGAACTCCGAGGCTTGGTCACAAGTCCTTGGAGCAGCAGCTCAGCTCAATGATAGCAATCATGCTATAGTCGGTCCGTGCAGTGTCACCAGGGTCACCACAAGACTTCTGACCAAGCTGTGAAGGGCCCTGTTTGAGAGAAGAAGAGACAACGAAACCATTGAAGCATCCAGTTGATGATGCAAATCTGTTCTTTCGGTGATTTTCAGATGGGCATAACCGTATAACCATACCTAATAACCATACAAATCTGATTTTCAGTCCATCCACTGTCCCAACTGTGCGGACGTCCCGTAAGGTACGTGACTGACATGGATCCAGAAGAACAGGTCGCTGGGCCACGGTGGAAAGGAGGTGACACCTTTGTCA